GCATTTTCTGACAAAGGTAACCCAGTTTTTGACTTTCAAAACTGTTAGGAGAAAAACGGCTCAACTTTGTAACAAATGTAGCAAAAACGAAAGGGCTTATTTTTTTCTGCTTCCACACACTGAAATTGCTGTGTACTTACCACAAATTTAGCTATATATTATTTAATATTTCAAGTTATGTATTAAAACAAAAAATTTAAAAAAGCGGTGCATGGCTGCAATAGACTACACGATAAAGTGATCTTAACACTGCGATAACAAAAAAGAAATGACTATTGAAAGAAAACATACACGTTGTGTATACAATAGGTTAAAGATAAAAGAAGATAACAACGTAACCATGAGCACAACATACATACACGTGGCCTGTCCTTTTCTTTTTCTCACTATGTGTGTGTTATATAACTTTAGAAAGATAATATAAGATATAACACAGAACAGCCACGACTCGCGCCGCGACTTTTTAAAACTCCTCTAATCAGACCGCAACTCAGCGATAATAATCGCGACTCGCGACGCGGCTAGGAAAATACTACTGTTTATATATCTGTGATTGGCTTGGCTCGACTCGCCATATCGCGAATCGTGCCGCGATAATATACATTGATCGTATAGTGAATCTGAAAAAAGATTTTTTTTAAAATAAGATTAGGCCAAGATCACGGCGCGAGTTTAAGAACTCAGAAAAAAATCTGGCGCGACTATGCACGATTCTTGTAGAAATTTATCGCGGCTATGCACGATTCTTGCAGAAACGTATCGCGACTATGCACGACTCTTGCTGCAACAAGCTTTTCTTCAAAAGACTTGCTTAGTCGCGGCGCGAGCGCTAAAAAATCTTGTATATACAAAATATTCTAGCGATCGCGCCGCGACTAAGCAAGTCTTTTGAAGAAAAGCCTGTTGCAGCAAGAGTCGTGGCGCGACTAAGCAGAGTACGGCTGTTGAAATTCGCGATCGCAAGAGTCGCGCCGCGACATCGCGAACTCATCACGACTCTTAAAAATTCCTCTTCTCTCTAGATAAGAATTTTCCAGGATCCCGGCGCGACTTCGCGACTCAACAGCGATCGCGCCGCGACAGCGGGAGTTCATAGCGATCGCGCCGCGACAACGGGAGTTCATAGCGATCGCTTGCGCGACATCGCGTACGCGCCGCGACTAGGGCGCGAGAGTCGACCTGGGTAACCAGTTCTGAGACGGTCAGTAACAGTTTAGGGAAATAGTCATGATGATGAAAATATTTTTTTTGAAAGTGGATTATACATTAGTCTATTTGTTGGAAATTCTTCGTGCGCAAAAAGAAAGAAGAGGTCTATTAAGGCTTTGTATGTTCAAAAAAATAAGCCATTTATTGTTATGAAACAAAGAAAAGGCAGATTATCTTCGTAGAAAGCCGAAAGAATTGAAGTAAATTAGGCCTGTTTACAATACGACCAATCTTGATCTTTTTGTAATCGATAAAAAGTAGTTTAGCGTAAAGACGTCTCCGTTCGCAAGAGCGGAAAATTCTAAAAATTCATGTTTCAAGTTTGAATCAAGGCTGACTGCTGTTTGACCTGTCTCAATTCAATGTATAGTACGCAACTTTCTTTCTAACAATATCTCTGCTATGCTTGAAATATTCTTATTTGTGTGAGAAGTAAATGGACTATAGCAGAGGGATAGAGTTTGCAATTAGGCATACACATAGACCAATCTAAATTTTTTAAATCAGTACTGCTGTAGCATAGAGCGTGTAAATAAAGTTAACATCGTCTGCTACCTAGATTTAGGGATTTTTGAGAATTTTTTGGCCTCTTTTCTTCAAAAACATTTCAGTAATATTTTTACATAGTAAAAGAAAATGAAGTCAAAGTAAACAGACATAGAAACTAAAAAGTAGATTGTCTGTTTTATTTCACAATCATAAAAATCCATCCGCAAGTAATTCTGTATACGGATACTCGACAGATTGAGCCGTAGCCGTATTCAGATGCTCTAAGTCTGTTAAATTTTCAGTACCATCATCATCGTCAAAATCATAGTCAAATTCGTATGAAACGTCCGACTACAAGGCAAAAGGAGAATAAAGAATAAGTGATTGATACGTGACAGCAGATGGCAATGAATTTTTTTCGTACTTCAACACTGCTATCATCATCTTCATCTTCATCTGACTGTAGAACGTCGAAATCAAGACCAGTAATTTGTACTGTCGTTTTCGAAGAAACTAATTCCTATAAAAAAAGCTTGACCACGTAGACCATACAGATCATAAAGTGAAACTCCTACGATAACGAGTAGATGGTCTTTAGCAAGTTTATTACGACCTATCGTGAATATGCAATAGTCTATATTGCATGGTTTAGAGAGACACTTGCTTCTTCCTGCTCCTCCTGTTCTTCTTCAATAATCTCATCTGATATTAGTGATTGAAATTTCGGTAACGGTCCTCTTTGAATCTTCGTCTAGAAAATAAACAGAAAAAGATAGGTAACAGTATAAGTTCTTGAAACTACTCTATTCTAAGTTTATTTTGCTTACTATTGTAGCTGTCGTTGTGGCCATATGACCATTATCGCAATTTACATAATTCAAACAATTGACGCATTTGCATATCAACGTGCATTTCATATTTTCTTTCCGACATTTACATCGTTTTGTTATACAGCCTGTCTTACAGTTACATGATGTACTGGTTTTCACATCTGGCACTGAACTACATTGCTTCCATTCAACTATTAATTTATCTTCTACATCTCTTGTAAATCCATTACCTTCCAATGGTGGATAATCAATATTGTTTTTTGTTGCTTGACACCAAATGTAGGATTGTAAGGCTTTCATTGCACGTAATACTCGTTTGCAATGATACGCGAATGCATCTGATGTAGGTACCAAACTGTCGAGAATAGATGTGGATAAGGATGAACGTAGGAAATTCATTGTTTGAATCTTACGTAGTTCATCTAGTGCTAGATATTTGTAAAGAAGATAAGGAAAAATCAGTTTTTTCTCATTTAAGAATTTTGATACTGTGCTATAGCTATATAGAATTGCGGCTTGTTTACTTTTTCACAAATTCCACTTAGCATTAGCAACTCTGATTTTGCTCTAATCCGATCTTTAGAAAGCTAATTTTTAGCTTCAAAAAAGTTCGAAGTTACACGTATTCAGTCAGTTTTTCGAATAACATATTGCTCGAACAGATCGGATTTAAACGGCGGAGACTAGATAGATTTTACACTTTACGATTTTAATAATCTGTCACGCATAGGAAAAAGATTTGAAAGAGTAAAGTTGTTTCATTTCCACAGTTTTTCATGGCAGAGTCGAATGAGATTATAAGAACTCTTTATACAAAAATTCAAGTGTCTATAATCACCTCAGTTCTCATACATTTTCTTTCGAGAGAAGCTTA